TAGAAATTCGGAGCCGTCAAAATCTTCTTCATTCTGATCATCATCTGGCCCGCGTATGATATCAAACATGGTCTGTTCTCTCTCTCTCTCTCGGTATTGTCCGCCATAACTTTTATTTAACTATGCCAAAAGAAATATAAAACAATTTAGTATAATCTCGAATAATAGATATAATCTCGAATACATCGTCTCGAATAATAGATATAATCTCGAATACATCATCTCGAATAATAGATTTAATCTCGAATACATCGTCTCGAATAATAGATATAATCTCGAATACATCGTCTCGAATAATAGATTTAATATCGAATACATCGTCTCAAATAATAGTACATCACTGGCTAGGCTATGAAAAAGATATCGAGATCTTGTATCATACCTTTTATTGCAAGCAGACCTTTATGATAAAATATTTTCTCCTCTGTTTGGGTTTAGAAAGTAAGGTAAGACACTTGAGCGATGCGCTTGGCAGAAACTATTGTAGTACTAACTACTTTCTCAATAAACTTACTCGCCTGAAACTGCAAATTTCCACTGGGAAAACATGGCAATACGGCAATGTGCTAGTTTTTGAACGATATATACACTTCTAGTGTGTAGTTTATATGCTTCGAACAGAGTAATCAATGGGACATGTGATCACGTGAATGATTTGATTTTGGCTGACAACGCTTGGTGAAAGTGGGCCTGACTCAAACCGATGACCTGAGAGGTGTCACTAGTAGAAAACGGAGCTTTAAAACCGGTTTGTAAGGGCCTTTAGTGCCGGTTATGGAACCGGCACTAAAGTGTGGGCACTAAAGGCCCGCCCCCTTTAGTACCGGTTCGGCACGAACCGGCGCTAAAGTGCCACCACGTGGCATGAGCTCCCGCCCTGGTATGGGGGACCTTTAGTACCGGTTGGTGTTACCAACCGGTAACACCAACCGGTACTAAAGGTTTTTTTCTGAATTTTTTTGAAAATTTTGGAATTTTTTTTTTTGATTTTTTTTTTCGATTTTTAATTTTTTTGAATTATTTGATGATTTAGTCTCTAGTCACCTCTCTTAACTACTCAAGTGTGGATCACTCATTCCAAATCATCTAACTTCCCGAGCGGTCACCCATCCCTCTCACTACTCCAGCCCGAGCACGCTTAACTTTCAGGTTCTATTCTCCTTCGTTTCCGAGTCTGCACTTGTTGTTTTCATGACAATAGTAAGATGTCAATCCTATTAACCCTCAGGAGTTTAGCTTGAGCATGAAGTCACACATTTCACCGTTTGAGTTTGAAACTATTATTCTAAAAAAACAGTAATTATTTAGTAACGCTAATATTTCTTGAAAAAGTTTGACCATAGTTTGACCACAATTTGACCATAGTTTGACCAGATTTGACCAAAATTCAAAAAATTGAAATAATTATTTAGTAACACTAATATTCTTGAATATTTATTTAGTAACACTAATATTTCTTGAATAAGTAGTTTCACCATAGTTTGACCACAATTTGACCAGATTTGACCAAAATTCAAAAAAGCTGAGATACTTATTTAGTAACACTAATATTATTGCATAATTATTTAGTAACACTCTATATTTCTTGAATCAGTTGTTTGACCAGTTTGACAAGATTTAACCAAAATTCAAAAAAACATAAATTAGAGCATATCTTTTTTTTCCTTTTACAATTTTGTCATTTCAAAAATTGTCCTAAACCCTAAACCCGGGACTTAAAACGTCGGAATCTCTATGCTAAACAGTAAAAACTAAGGGTTAAACCATAAAACCTAACCCTAAACTCTGAAATCTAAACCCTAGCACTAAACGCTAAAAACGTCTAAAAACGTCTAAAAGGCCCAAAAACTCTATTTTCCTTTTGGAATTTTGTGATTTTAAAAAATTGTCGAAACGGAAAACTGGTATATTTCTGAATTAGGATGATTTAGTTATGATTTTTTTCAATCTTTTTGTTCAGCGGATCAATCTTTTTGTTCTGCAAATTTTGATATATTATATGTATTTTTCTGAATTAGGATAATTTAGTTATGATTTTTTCAAGTTTGAAAATTGCCCTATAGTCCCGGTTTGTGACTCCAACCGGGACTATAGGTTAGACCCCTTTAGTGCCGGTTCGTGACACGAACCGGTACTAAAGGTTGGCCCTTTAGTACCGGTTTGTGCCACAAACCGGGACGAAAGAGGCTCGTGGGGCCCTGGCCTGACGCCAGCCTGCCACCACCCCTTTAGTACCGGTTCATGCCACGAACCGGTACTAAAGGTTCAACACGAACCGGTATTAATGCAAATCCGTTTGAACCGGCACTAATGGTACCATTAGTACCGGGCCAAAATCAAACCGGCACTAATGTGCTTCACGTTTGATCCTTTTTCTACTAGTGTGTGTCGATCCCACATAGCCTCGTCCATTCATCCGTAAATATAGAGTAGCCCAGGCCCTATGTAACCAACGTCCAATCGTCTGCCGTATCTGCCGTAGTTAATGCAATTACACGGTACAGTAGACGCGTGGGGCACCGAAGCCTTCATTATAACTAGTAAGAGGAGTCGTTGGTACGTACATGGCTGAAATTTTTGGAACATGCCTTGATTAGGTGAGGTCATAAACCGAAGTGACATTTGACATGTACTTTCACCATTCCGTCATGTTCCCCCTCCGGCACTGCTGCCACACAAAGTTCGAGCATGTACCGTAGTTTGTCTACCCACTTAGAGCACGTAATAACCATAATCAGCGATAACACATGAAAATTCAAACTGAAAGCCAACCTCACGCGCTTGCAGCATCGAGAGAACGTGTTCTAGCAGGCGCCAGGACAGGAGGGCGGAGCTCTGGATCCGAACCCACAGGAGCTAGTGTTGTTAACGCTACAAGGGTTGGACATACCTTTTTATGATTTTCTTTGTGGCCTTCTATTTTATTATGGTATTTAATCCATCAAATATCTCCCAATCGTGTGCTGCACATCACTTGCTTCATCGGATGTGCACGTGTTTCTTGGGTATGCAACCACAAGTTGATCTATGAAACAAATACTTGTGGGTGGAAGGCCAGATGAGTAGCGTTGAGTATGGTCTCTAGAAATGTGGTGGAGCTGATATTTAGCTGAGGTTGTGGTCCATGTATTTCAATCTGGAGCTGGCTGACTCCAAGAAGCAGTGGTAGCAGACCTAGTTTAGTTGCGATGATGCTCCACCTAGTCTCAACGTCTTCCTCTCTACTCCCTAGTGGTAATCTTTTCTGCCCCCGCAACTAGAAATTTTTAAAAATAGCAGTCGCAGGTGCCAGACAGGCCTGCCACTAATTTGAGTCCACCTATAAGCCTTTTCCCAGTTGTTGGTGGTTTTGCCCTTGACTATTTGCTCTCGGCCTCTTCCAAAATGACTGATAATTTCCCAGCAAAAAAATGGCCTTTTTCTCTCAATTTCCTTTTTTGCCAAATATTAGCACTTGGTAAATTGTGAAACGTAATAAAAAAGCCCAACAATCAAAATTACAATGGGACAATAACTCCTTTTGTTTACTGCCATGGGACAGTAACTCATGTCACTGTGTGCAGCGGCAGTTTATCAACGCTCAGAAGTACAACATGCAATAACTGACATGAGAGTTGAAGTACGCACAGGTAGTGCCGGTTCACCTAACAACTTGCCTAGTCGACAGGCAAATCGTGCTACTAGTACATGCGCATGCATCACGACTTAATTGTATAATCGTCTTGAAGTCAACACATAACATGCATGGTGCCTGATTAGTCGCAGTAGTACTAGAAAGAAAGGGTATATAGTACATAGCCTGCACAATTACCTAATGAAAAAGATATGGAGATCTTGTACCGTACACTTACTGCAAACGGACCTTTATGATGAAATACTTTCTCCTCTTTTTGTGTAGTCCACATGGTTCGTACAGAGTAATCAAGGAGATATGTGATCACGTGAACGATTTGATTTTGACTGACAAGGAGATACTACGTATATATAGTATTATAATAGAATAATACTTGTCACAAATGAATTGCAGAACCTACTTCAAGTGATGAAGTCAACACGTACGCAAAGGTGCATACATACTCCATGGCTAAGTAACTTGGCGATAAATAGACCAATAGTAGCGAGACATTGTACACTGATGAATTTAGCGAGACAATTCTGTACACGCTATAGCGTGCTATTAGCGGCGCTATAGCACGTTATTTTTTTCTGCGGGGTTTACTGAGCAAGGCACCGTATACTTCAAGGATACGCTTGGCAAAAACTACTTTCTCGAATGGCTGAAACTTACACGCCTGAAATTGCATATTTCCAAAGGGAAAAATATTGCAATGCGGCGATGTGCTATCTGAATATACACATCCTGTAAAAGAACGATATATACACTACCACAGTGTGTAGTCTATATGCTTCGTACAGAGTAATCAAGGGGACATGCGATCACGTGAGTGATTCGATTTTGGCTGACAACGCGATACTACATATATATTAGAATGAATTGCAGAACCCACTTGGAGTGATGAAGTCAACACGTACCCAAAGGTGCATACATACTCCATGGCTAAGTAACTTGGCGATAAATAGAGCTATAGTAGCATTGCATATATGTGGTGTGCCTATAAAAAGAGCATGTCTCCGCTCTCATCTGGGCACCACACATTCTCACTTCCAGAGACCCATCAATCTACCTAGCTGCCCAGCCCAGCCACTACCTCCTTCGTCCAGCCAACAATGGCTGCATCCGCGCTCAAGATGGCAGCCATCTGATCCGTGCTGGTCATCCTCCTGTCTACCGCGGGGCAGCCAGTGATGGCCGACATAATGGACGGCCTAGCTTGCCCTAGTGCCAAGACGCCATGCCGCCAACGATGCAGACTTGTGTGCGACTTCTTTGGCAGGGTGATGTGCAACCCTATCTGCACCATCACGCCGCCGGAGCTGGTAGCGTTGGACCAGGCCTGCGTGAACCAGGCCATCGGCCCTTGCCTGACCAGTTGCAACAGGTTGTGCGAGGCCCTCTTGGTTCACACGAATCCCTGATTGCCACCTGGCCGGGTACGCCATTGCTGGCCATGCGTGCCAGTCACTACTTCGAAGTTTATTTACCAGTACCTGCAGCGAACATGATGGAAGTATGTATGTTGGAATGCATGGTCATCTATTTTCCTTTCCTTTCTCAGTCATTTATTTCTGTCACGCATCACTGGTTGTGTATCCATGCATGGATCAACAATGGTGGTACGTGTACTGTCACATGTTACACTATGTCTTACTACTACCGGTACCAGTAGTGAGTGGCCTCCCTGGCCGTGTGTTGCAAGTATGTACGAAAAAAGTATTACAATGTTCAAAATAAAGTTAGTCATTTCGTCAGATATGCTGTAACTGTCGTGGCTGGCAAATTTCAATGATCAACACATAGCCAGTTCTAGCATGCCTATGTTTCCTAACCTACTTTTTCTTTGCTCGTTCGCTCGTTTGCGTAACCCATATTTTTTCTTCCATATGCCTCCCAACCGGGAGCCAGGTTCCATTATATATATAACGGAACAGTCAACGTTCATATGAAGAATAAAAACTGAAAAGAAAAGAAAACTAGAGAAAACGAATAGGAACATGAGAATGCAACATAAGAACTGGGCAACGCAGAGGAACTCCAAATAAGAAGATTAAACATTTAGTACAAAGCAAGGTATCTGAAAACAACATGGGAAGAGCACCACATCCATGAAGACTTACTACATTGTGTCCAAAGTTACGGCACACAACAACAAAGTCTAGGCACCAACAACCGGTCGTCAATCAACTCTCCGTCAGATCATCAGGGATCACCCCATCATCAGTATCGTCCAGCTGATATTCAGCCATTCCATCTTCAGCAATGCCATCAGTAATTTGTAGCCTAGCACCAGCCAGAGTCCTGCGTGCAGCATCATGAACCCTGATAGCTCAAGTCTCCATCCAAGAGAATGAGTTTGTTACCATCTTTTTGCAACCATACCCAATGACGCAAAAAACCACATAAATAGCAGATTAGCTCAACATGAGCTGAGGGCAACTATTTATCAAAGTAAGCTCTATCACGGGTCTTCTAGAGAGACCAACAAGAAGCTGCAATACCTACAATATGCAAATTAATCCCCAAGGGAAATGTATCAGCCACCCAGATGAAATATTGAATGGAGCATGAGGGTCTATCAGTCAGACCAGCCGTGCTACAAATAAAACTCTACAGAAGAAGAAGCCAAACAGGCAAAAAAAAGTGATTAATGGTTTCATTTTCCTCACAGAAAACTGCAAGTGAAATTTACAACCCAGTTCCTCTTTTTTACATTCTCTTTGGTAGCAATGAGATTATGCCATATAAGCCAAAGCCATTTTAATTTTTTAAAGGATTTTGGTTATCCACATTAGTTGAACCGCTCTATTTGCGACCTCACTAAAGAGGTGATGATATATTGTGATTTCACAGAGTACTTGACAGATTTAGTGAACCTCCACTTACGGTAGTCAAGATTCTCATTCAAAGCACTGCAACTCAGGTGTCAACCATCTCCTGAATCTCAAACTCCATTTTTAATTTGGCAAGACAGCAACAGTTTTGCCAACATATAAACTGATTGCAAAAAGTTGTGTCCAAATGACACTCAAAGGAGCATCACCACACCAAGAATCTTGCCAAACATCTGTCTTTTTTCCATTTACAACTGCCAACTTCCCCCCTTTTAAGTATATGTCCTTCACCTTCAACAAATCATACCAAATAGCTCAATCAGTTTGCTTCTGTCAAATTGACAAAATACTCCCATGTATTTTATCTTCCGCTCTAAACAGTTGTTGCCAAGGACCATCTCCAGACTCCAACTTGCACGACCATTTGCATAACAAAGACACATTAAGGTGTCTAGAGGTTTAACCCCCAAACCACCTTTCACCTTGGGACTAGAAATCAAATCCCACCCGACTATATAATATTTTCTATTACAGCTCCCACATTGCCAGAAAAAAACGCTGGATGTTTTTATTCATCTTCTCTAGCATAGTTTCATGAAGTACAAACATAGACATATGATAAATGGGAATGCTACTACAGGTTATAAGTGTCAATCAGCAAGGCACAAGATAAAACCAATCCACCCATCCAGACTTCTCAATAATTTCTCTATCAAGAATTTCCAATCACAAACATGCAACCTGGAGCCACATACTGGAACACCCAAATATTTGCAAGGCCCTCAATTGGCAGCCAAACAAGTCGAGAAACATTAATCCTTTGCTTCTCTCATCCAGAATCATAAGCACCTCACTCTTTGTAAAAAGGATTTTAAGGCAGGCATAGTTTCAAACAGTTACAAAATCAACTTCACATGAAGAGCCTGATAAAAATCGTCTTGGATAAACATGATCATGTCATCCACATAATGTAACATAGTGAATCATTTATTCACCAGATGAGGTACCAGGCCTACTAATCTTCCCACAACCAATGATTTAATAATCATATGATTAAAGTCGCTAGGTTGAACAGAAAAGGGGATAGAGGATCATCATTTATTACGACAATAAACTATAGGTGACAATATATAGTTTCGTTTTAGCGAGACAATGTGTGACCCTACTCATATAAAGGAGTATGGAACGAGAACTAAGAACTAAGGCCCCACAAACACAAAGTGCACCACACACCAAAAAAAAAAAGGAAAGACCCTCTGCCTCCACAAAGTGCACCACACAACATTGGAATAGGGGAGACGCTCTCACCAAAACCTCTGCCGCAACCACTCACAACCCCATGACGTAGTTAACTGCCCTGGGACTAATCCGCACAACACTGAGTTAGCTGGATCAATGGTGGTATAGATATTTTTTTGGAAACGAAGGAATACGTACCCCGGTCTCTGCATCATTTTGATGCACATGACCATTTATTACATAAGTTCAAGTGTCAAGCTCTGGTACTATAGAACAACATTACAATAGAAACATCGAAAACCGGCGAGATTAGGAATATATTCCTACACACATAGCCTAGTATTGGATCACCATCCAAACCGATCGTACGTATTCCCTGCTACCATTTCTCATCGGTTGCAGCCATAGACCATAATCCCCGGCACTTTCGCATGGTGAAGTAAGGATCACATACCCGAAGCTCTGTAGATAACCTGCAAATAAGTATCAATCTTTACTTTGTTAAACACATAATCATTCCTACACTTACAAAGACTCTTAAGCAATGCACATATTCCGAAATGTATTCTCTCTATAGTCTTAGGGTCTACCCCACCTAACCAGTTACCAACAATATTTGATATACTGGTAGCTGCAGGCGCATTAAAAGTCACATGAATTGTGGGCCATATTATCTTGCCAAATGGGCAAACAAAAAATTGATGAATCGTTTTCTTTTGATCAAACAAACAACATTGTTTACTACCTCAAGTCCACATACATCGACTTAACGAAAAAAACTCACGAAGGAGATAACCTAGATTGGAACACATCTGGCTCATTGTCACCTCCATGAGCCTTCGAACAAAATGTAACCAAGTACTCCATCTATCCCTATTCTGATTTTGCCGGAATTGGATATTTGAGGGAGTCGACCGCAAAATTATGCTAACATAAGCCTGCTTTTTTACAGGGGAATATATTAGTATCGCGAAGATACCATTTACACGAAGCCTCTGCACCTAGAAGATGTCGCAAAGACATCCAGGATGCACACAGACAAAGGAAAAAATAAAAAGAAAGGAAAAAAACAAAGATCCCGACACAGTGATCGACTCCTCTCAACGGCCGCAACCTGATTGATCACAAAATACAGCACCTTGAAAACATAAAATGTCTTCAAAAGCAATGCTTCCAAGAAGGAGTGCACAAGCACTGTCGTTGCCCAATCCAAGATTTTAGGTCTTCACTCTGGAGAAGTCCGAGCTCTCAAAACAATACCTTCGGTAAGGCAATTGCCAATTACAACCAATGAAGGCCACACCTTAGATTTTCACCCTAAAAGTGTCGGCTCGGCCCATGAGGAGCACTACCAAAAATGAATTCCTCTAATGTTGCCGCCCCCACTTGACAATGCTGGTCCCGAGAGTTATCAAACACCTGGTTGACTCCATCGCCTCGAAGGACCTGTCCGTCTAACCGATCCTCCAATCTTAGCAACCATGACCTTCTCCACAGTTGTCTACATCATAGAAATCCAGAAGCCAACATGTCCCGTGGTGTCAAGCAACAATAGAGCTTCGCTTCATGCCCTCATGGAACCACGTAGGCTGAAATGGACTTGCGTGACTAAATTCTACCTGATCCATCATGCCCTCATGGAACCACGTAGGCTGAAATGGACTTGTGTGACTGAATTCTACCCGATCCAGTTTAATTCCGAGAGGATGAAGAGCCTGGGGGAGCCGCAGCGGTTGGCGAGGCGGAGGTGGCAGTCGACGAAGCCCTGGGAGGAGAGCACGGCAGCCCAGGCACTGGAGAGGCTGCAACAGCGCATCACCGATTTGGCCGGCATCCTCGCGAGGATGTCCTCGATCAGATCGTTGGGGAGGGTGGAGGACGGCTGTTCCGCAGCCTCATTGGACGGAGAATCCATGGGCGCGGCGGGCTGGACGAGAAGGAGGCGGTGGGTGGACTGGGGATCCAAGACGGCGAGAAGGAGGCGGTGGGTGGAGATCAAAGACAGCAAGGGGCGGCGGCCTGATCTGTTTTGCCAACGCAAGTGTTTTTCTTTTTCTTTTTTGAGGGGTAACGCATGCTTTTTTTAGCACATGTAACGGAAGTTATGAAAACGGAGGTTTTGTGTGAGAGTGAGTTGTGGTAACGCATGCTTTTTTTAGGGGCTTCTTGGCTGCGTCTCAGACTTTCGGGCCGGGTAGAAGAGATACACTCCAAGCATATTTTGATGAAGAGTGAAATATTTTCTCACAAAAAATGAGAATGTGAATTATTCTCAAGAAAAAAGAGCGTGTGAATAAATGTCCAATGTTTTTCTTAATGCTCAATATAATAAGTTCATCAATGTGGAA